CAGTTTGCTTGTTTAGCTCTAAACACCACTTCATTAAAAATAAAAAGCACACACAGCTCTATTACACTCTAAGAAATAACGTACATGCAACAGTTAATCACCATTTAGCTTGTTTGTGTGTTTGAGTCTACTGGTTACACAGTTTAAGATCTGCTCATTCCGTAACTATTCCACCTCATATCATCATATTCCTTCTCTCATCATCACCATGTTATCTTAACTGTAAACGACCCCTGTCAGATCAGAAAGAAATACATAGAATTGAGTCAAGCCCAAAGGGGGCACACTTTATTTTCGTAAAAATTATCTTTTAAAAACACCACGTACAGCACAAAGCAACGTGTCTGGAAGGCTGGAAACACATTCAGAACTTGACTCATCCGAGAGGTTGAACAGTAGAACACATTTTAAGTTTATGTTAGCTATTGGAAAAGGGTCATCAATTATAGTTGTCCCAGGATAAATGTATCACAATTAATCTAAACAGACATAGCATTTTATTTAAAGCATGGGATTGGGATTAACACTGGAACTTTCATTAAATGCAGGTTTGTCGATTTTTTTTTGAGGGGAGGGTAGAAATGTTACGGTGCAAATATATCTTGTTAAAGTCAAACAGGAACCAGAATCACAGTAAGTGGAGAGAGGACACCAGACTTACCCATATGGCCTTTGAACAAAAGCTGGGTGTATCTGCTGAACTCCAAAAGTGAAACCTGTCCAGAGAAGAGATCAGGTTGGAAACGTTAACACTGAACAGAAACTAGAAACTTTCTCCCCCACCCACACCAACACCCACCCCAACACACACACGGATAACACACACATGCACCAACTAATATCTTAATGTCAAACTTTTGATCAACCAGTTGACCGTAAAATCATTGTCTCTGCTACTAAATTGCCCTCTTGATTATATCCCCTCTCACTTCCTCCCCTTTGCCAGCAGCAGCTCTGTCGGTCTGTCTGTCTCTCCTCACGGCTGCCCCTCACTCACCTGGTTGCATGATCCTCGGCTTGGCCCCCAGGTAAGCCAGGTTCACGTTGGCTTTCCTGCCGTCTATGATGGGATTGGGATCCTTGCAGGCCCGCTCTGCCGCAGCCCTGTCAGCCATGGTCACCTGCACCAGGGAAACACAAGCGCATCAGTATACAACTCTCATACATACACACACACAGTATACAGCTCCCCCCCCACACACACAGTACAGAGCCCCCCCCCCCCCACACACACACACAGTATACAGCTCCCACACGCACACACACACACACACACAGTATACATCTCCCACACACACATACAGCACCCCCCCACACACACACACACATTATACAGCTCCCACACAAACGCACACACAGTATACAGCTCCCACACACATACGCACAGTATACAGCTCACACACACACACAGTATACAGCTCCCACACAAACGCACACACAGTATACAGCTCCCACACACACATTGTACAGATCCCACACACACGGTATACAGCTCTCTCACACACACACAGCATACAGCTCCCCACACATACACAGCATATAGCTCCAGCCCACACAGCATACAGCTCCCGCACACACACACACACACAGCATACAGCTCCCGCACACACACACACACACACAGCATACAGCTCCCACACACACACAGCATACAGCTCCCACACACACACAGCATACAGCTCCCCACACATACACAGCATATAGCTCCAGCCCACACAGCATACAACTCCCGCACACACACACACAGCGTACAGCTCCCACACACACAGTGTACAGCTCCCACACACACACACAGCATACAGCTCACACACACACACAGTATACAGCTCCCATGCACACATACGTATACAGTATACAGCTCTCACACACACAGAATATACAGCTCCCACACATATACAGCATACAGCTCCCACACACACGCACAGTATATAACTCACACACACGCACAGTATACAGCTCACACACACGCACAGTATACAGCTCCCACGCACACACAGCATACAGCACACACACGCACAGTATACAGCGCTCACACACACAGTATACAGCTCCCACACACACACACACACACACACACAGAGTATACAGCTCCCACGCACACACAGCATACAGCTCACACACATGCTCAGTATACAGTACACACACACACAGTATACAGCTCTAACACACACATAGTATACAGGGCTCACACACATACACAGTATACAGCTCACATTCATACACAATATACAGCTCCCCCACACACACAGTTTACAGCTCCCACACACATACACGGATAGTATACAGTGCTCACATACACAGTAGACAGCTCCCACACATATACAGCATACAGCTCCCACACACACACACACACACAGTATACAGCTCCCACACACACACACAGTATACAGCTCCCACACACACACAGTATGAAGCTCCCACACATACACAGCATACAGCTCCCACACACACACAGTATACAGCTCCCACACACATATGCACACAGTATACAGCTTCCACACACAGTATACAGCTCTCTCACACAAACGCAGTTTCCAGCTCACACACACACGCACAGTATACAGCTCCCACACTCATGCACAGTATACAGCTCTCTCACACACACGCGCACAGTATACAGCTCACACACACACACAGTATACAGCTCACACACACACACAGTATACAGCTCTCTCACACACATACAGTATACAGCTCACACATACACACACAAACATATACAGCTCACACACACAGAATACAGCTCTCACACACACACACACACAGTGTACAGCTCTCACACGCAGTATACAGCTCACACACACAGTACGCAGCTACGTACACACACAGTATACAGCTCATGCACACACACAGTATACAGCTCACGCACACACACAGTATACAGCTCACGCGCACACACATAGTATACAGCTCGCACACACAGTATACAGCATACAGCTCACACACACATGCAGTATACAGCTCACACACACATGCACAGTACACAGCTCACACACACACTCAGTATACAGCACACACACACAGTATACAGCACACACACACAGTATACAGCTCATATACACACACACAATATACAGCTCCCACACACAGAGCATACTGCTCCCACACACACACACAGCATAGAGCTCCCACACACACACACACAATATACAGCTCCCACACAGACACAGTATACAGCTCCCACGCACATATACGCACACAGTATACAGCTGACACACACATACAGTATACAGCTTCCACGCACACACAGTATACAGCTCCCACACACACGCATAGTATACAACTCACACACACGCACAGTATACAGCTCACACACACGCTCAGTATACAGTACACACACACACACAGTATACAACTCTAAGACACACACAGTATACAGCACACACACACGCTCAGTATACAGCACACACACATACGCACACAGTATACAGCTCACACACACATGCACAGTATCCAGCTCACATACATACACAATATACAACGCACACACACAGCTCCCACACGCGCACAGTTTACGGCTCCCACACACATACTCACAAAGTATACAGCTCCCACACACGTGCCCAGTATACAGCTCCCACACACATGCACAGTATACAGCTCACACCTACACACACACAAACAGTATACAGCTCCCACACACACACAGCATACAGCTCCCACACACACACAGTATACAGCTCCACATACACACACACACACACAGTACACAGCTACACACACACACAGTATACAGCTCACACACAGGCGCGCGCAGCACACAGCCCTCTCACACAGGTGCGCGCAGCACACAGCCCTCACAAACAGTCAAGCAGCACACAGCCCTCTCACATGCGCGTGCAGCGCACAGCCCTCTCACACAGGCGTGCAGCGCACAGCAATCTCACACACACGTGCAGCACACAGCCCTCTCACACACGTGCGCGCAGCACATAGCTCTCACACACGCGCGCATACACTGCACACAGCTCTCACACACGCGCGCACACACACACTGTACACAACTCTCACACGCGCGCACACACACTGTACACAGCTCTCACACACGCGCACACACACACACAGTTCACAGCTCCCACATATGCACGCACACACTGTACACAGCTCTCACACACGCACACTGTGCAGTTCTCACACACGCACGCACACAGTACACAGCTCTCACAAACACACACAGTATACAGCGCTCTCACACATACAGTACACAGCACACACCTGTCACACATGCACAGTACACAGCTCTCACACACGCACAGTAAACAGCTCTCACACACGCCCTCACACACGTGCGCACACACTGTACACAGCTCGCACACACTATACACTGCTGTCGCACACGTACGCACACACTGTACATAGCTCTCACACACGTACCACACTGTACACAGCCCACTCCCGCGTGCACACACTGTACACAGCTCTCACACATGCGCGCACACTGTACACAGCTCTCACACAGCACGCGCACACTGTACACAGCTCTCACACGCATGTACGCGCACACACTGTACACAGCTCTCACACACGGGCACAGAGTACACAGCTCTCATGCATGCACACAGCACTGGCGGGGCAGACTCAAAGAGCCAAATGGCCTACTCCTGCTCCTACATGTTGTGTTAGTATACAGCTCACACACACACACACACACACACAGTATACAGCTCTCACACACACAGTACACAGCTCTCACACACACACACACACACACGGTATACAGCCCTCACACACACACATGGTATACAGCTCTCACACACACACGGTATACAGCTCTCACACACACAAACGCACGGTACACAACTCTCTCTCACACACACACGGAATACAGCTCTCACACACACGCACTGTACACACTACGCAGCTCTCACACATACACGCACACACAGTACACAGCTCCCACAAACGCACACAGTACACAGCTCTCACGCATGCACACAGCTCTCTCACACACACACAGAATACAGCTCTCACACACATACTCACACACAGCTCTCTCTCACACACACACACACGGTATACAGCTCTCACACACACACACACACACACGATATACAACTCTCACACACACATACAGTATACAGCTCTCACACACACATGCACAGTATACAGCTCTCACACACACGCGCACAGTATACAGCTCTCACACACACGCGCACAGTATACAGCTCTCACACACACATGCACAGTATACAGCTCTCACACACACGGTATACAGCTATCAACACACACACACACACATGGTACACAGCTCTCTCACACACACACCGTGTACAGCTCTCACACACACATATGGTATACAGGTCTCTCTCACACACACACACACATGGTATACAGCTCTCACACACACACACGGTATACAGCTCTCTCTCACACACACATGGTATACAGCCCTCACACACACAGATGGTATAGAGCTCTCACACACACATGGTATACAGCTTCACACACACGATATACAGCTCTCAGACACACACACACGGTATACAGCTCTCTCTCTCACACACACACACACACAGGTATACAGCCCTCACACACACAGATGGTTTAGAGCTCTCACACACACATGGTATACAGCTTCACACACGCGATATACAGCTCTCAGACACACACACGGTATACAGCTCTCTCTCACACACACACACACACGATATACAACTCTCACACATTATACAGCTCTCACACACACGATATACAACTCTCACACACACACAGTAAACAGCTCTCACACACACATGCATAGTATACAGCTCTCACACACAAGCACATACATGGTATACAGCTATCAATACACACACACAGCTCTCTCACACACACACCGTGTACAGCTCTCACACACACATATGGTATACAGGTCTCTCTCACACACACGGTATACAGCTCTCACACACACACACGGTACACAACTCTCTCACACACACACATGGAATACAGCTCTCACACACACACGCACGCATTGTACATAGCTCTCAAACACGCACGCACTGTACGCAGCTCTCACATGCACACACATAGTACACAGCTCACATAAACGCACACAGTACACAGCTCCCACAAACGCACACACAGTACACAGCTCTCACACCTGCACACAGCTCTCACACACGCACAGTATACAGCTCTCACACACACAGAATACAGCTCTCACACACACACAGTACACAGCTCTCACACACACACAGTACACAGCTCTCACACACACGGTATACAGCTCTCTCTCTCTCACACACACACACACACGGTATACAGCCCTCACACACACACATGGTATACAGCTCTCACACATACACGGCACATACACCCCCCCCCACTCACATACACCCCCGCCTCCCACTCACATACACCCCCCCCACTCACATACACCCCCCCACTCACATACACCCCCCCCACTCACATACACCCCCCCACTCACATACCCCCCCCCACTCACATACACCCCCTCCCACTCACATACACCCCCCCACTCACATACACCCCCCACTCACATACACCCCCCCCCACTCACATACACCCCCCCACTCACATACACCCCCCCCCCACTCACATACACCCCCCCACTCACATACACCCCCCCATCACATACACCCCCCCCCACTCACATACACCCCCCCCCCACTCACATACACCCCCCCACTCACATACACCCCCCCCACTCACTACACACCCCCCCACTCACATACACCCCCCACTCACATACACCCCCCCACTCACATACACCCCCCCCACTCACATACACCCCCCCCACTCACATACACCCCCCCCCACTCACATACACCCCCCCCCACTCACATACACACCCCCCACTCACATACACACCCCCACTCACATACACCCCCCCACTCACATACACCCCTCCCACTCACATACACCCCCCTCCCACTCACATACACCCCCCCCCTCCCACTCACATACACCCCCCCACTCACATACACACCCCCCCACTCACATACACCCCCCCCCACTCACATACACCCCCCCCCACTCACATACACCCCCCCCACTCACATCACACCCCCCCCACTCACATACACCCCCCCACTCACATACACCCCTCCCCACTCACATACACCCCCCCACTCACATACACCCCCCCCCACTCACATACACCCCCCCACTCACATACACCCCCCACTCACATACACCCCCCCCCACTCACATACACCCCCCCCACTCACATACACCCCCCACTCACATACACCCCCCCACTCACATACACCCCCTCCCCACTCACATACACCCCCCCACTCACATACCCCCCCCACTCACATACACCCCCCCCACTCACATACACCCCCCCCACTCACATACACCCCCCCCCCACTCACATACACCCCCCCCACTCACATACACACACCCCCCACTCACATACACCCCCCCCACACATACACCCCCCCCACTCACATACACCCCCCCCCACTCACATACACCCCCCCCACTCACATACACCCCCCACTCACATACACCCCCCCCCCCTTTCCAACGTACCATCATGGCATTCATGGACAGCACTCACAGCCATCGCGCCGGGTTTCTGAAGTGAGACGATGGCAGAGCAACATGTCTTTGCTGCAAAATGTGGGAGACGATATGAATGACTGGAACATAATAACCTGAAGGGATAGACACAGTGCTGTGTGTAAAGGCACAAACGCACACCCAGACAAGCCACCGGGTGTGTGGTGTGTGTATTGTGTGTGTGGTGTGTGTGTGTGTGGTGTGTATTGTGTTGTGTGTGTATGTCTGTGTGTGTGTGTGGTGTATTGTGTGTGTGTAGTGTGTGTGTGTATGTGGTGTATTGTGTGTGTGTATGTGGTGTGTAGTGTGTGTGTGTGTGGTGTATTGTGTGTGTGTGTGTCTGTGTATGTGTGGTGTATTGTGTGTGTGTGGTGTGTATTGTGTGTGGTGTGTGTGGTGTATTGTGTGTGTCTGTGTGTATTGTGTGTGTGTGTCTTTGTGGTGTGTATTGTGTCTGTGTGTGTGTGTGTGTGTGTGTGGTGTATTGTGTGTGTGTGTCTGTGTGGTGTGTCTGTGTATTGTGTCTGTGTGTGTGTCTGTGTGGTGTATTGTGTGTGTGGTGTATTGTGTGTGTGTCTATGTGGTGTGTATTGTGTGTGTGTGTCTGTGTGGTGTGTATTGTGTCAGTGTGTGTGTGTGTGTGTGTGGTGTGTTGTGTGTGTGTGTCTGTGTGGTGTGTATTGTGTCAGTGTGTGTGTGTCTGTGTGGTGTGTATTGTGTGTGTGTGTCTGTGTGGTGTGTATTGTGTCAGTGTGTGTGTATTGTGTGTGTGTGTCTGTGTGGTGTGTATTGTGTCAGTGTGTGTGTGGTGTGTGTGTGTGTCTATGTGGTGTGTATTGTGTCAGTGTGTGTGTGTGTATGTGTGTGTGTGTGTGTGTGTGTGTGTGTGTGTGTGTATTGTGTCTGTGTGTGTTGTGTGGTGTGTGTGTGTGTTGTGTATTGTGTGTGTGTGTGTTTGGTGTATTGTGTCTGTGTGTGTGTGTGGTGTATTGTGTGTGTGTGGTGTATTGTATGTCTGTATTGTGTCAGTGTGTGCGTGTGGTGTGTATTGTGTCTGTGTGTGTGTGTGGTGTGTGTGTCTGTGTGTGTGTATTGTGTCAGTGTGTGTGTGTGTGGTGTGTGTGTGTGTGTGTGGTGTATTGTATGTCTGTATTGTATCAGTGTGTGTTTGGTGTATTGTGTCTGTGTGTGTGTGTTTGGTGTATTGTGTCTGTGTGTGTGTGTGTGGTGTATTGTGTGTGGTGTGTGTGTGTGTGGTGTGTATTGTGTCTGTGTGTGTGTGGTGTGTATTGTGTGTGTCTGTATTGTGTCAGTGTGTGTGTGCCCTTTGCAGTCAGAATAACAACTGCAGTCGAATACGATGGCTGTTGAGCATTGGGGAGAGGGAATTCCGCTGCATCGTTACACTCGACCTGTGTGTACCATATATCCTCTGCTCCAGGATGTTTTATATCAGGAGGAAGCAGTCAGACCGCCACCTCGTTTAAAGGTTTCTGTGGCATGTGTGTTAATTTTGAATGAATCTTATATAGCTGGATATCTTGAGGCTACAATTAAACATGAGCATTGTTCATTACGTGCTTTCCACATCGAATAGATTAGATAACTAACAAGACAGTAAATATATAATTAGTTTATCATTTGATGCATACTTCACTGTTAAATAGAAGGTTCCTACTTGTCTTATTCTGTAAATATTGCAATTTCCTTGTTTCTAAGTTGGGTTTCTCCTGGTCACTAACATTGCTACCAGTTTAGACATCTAGAACAGTAAGGATACCTACTACAGTTTAACAGTATAATTTAAATTGTGGAGAACATGAAAGATCACTTACAAGAAGAAGAAACTACTTGAATGGGCTAAGATTCTGGTGTTAGAAATTGGGGGAAGCACATCTTAGTTTATAGATGTAATAAAGTTGCAAATTTGTTTGTCAGCTGTTGGGATATGTTAATGGGAGTTGATCATTCAACAGCTTTTGGTTTGGGGAATTACCTGATATATATGTTATATAATATATATAGAGAGAGATTTTTATGAATTACTTTTAAAGTTTTCTGTAATATCTCTAGTACCACACATGTACATAAATCTGAGAGTACATTTGGGAGAGGAGGGGCAAGGGAAGAACATTGCAGGAAAAAAATCTTCTAATATATGACTTTATATCAGAACATTGTAGTACCTTCTTAAATTACCAGTAGCAAGTTTATTCTATAAACTTCCTACAGCAAGTATATTCATTAAGGATGATATTTTTATTCTGTACCAAATGCCTTGGAACTCTTTGAATCTGTGTTACACTATATATGTTTTGTGCTATGAAAAACTGATCAATGGTTCCCTGTTGTTTTTCCCTGTGCAGTAATACAAAGGATTGGCCTGGGAAATGAGGAACCTCTGTTACTAGTTCTTTTAGTGAACTGGATTTGCAAGCTAACCACTGAACTTTTCAGCTTCTCCACATTTAGAAGTAGGGTGATATTCAAAAGTATCACAGGATAGTAGGTTTGTACTTAACTGAAGGACAATATCACAGGAAGCAGCTGTAAATTACTTGCCTCAAACAACTGTTGCCGCAGGTCCCAACTTTGTTCTCACTGTGGAATTAGTTCATAGCATCGTTTGGCCAGATACTGGGATCCGTACCCATAGCCGGGAACCTCTAAATGGACAATGGTGACTACAGGTGACATTGACTGATCTAGCGTTTGCGTTGGGTACTGCTGTGTTGGGAAGCCTGGTGAGATCAGGGCGGTTACTCAGGCTGGTGGAATTTGTGTTCAAGCATCATCTGTAGTAGTTTTAAAGCAAAAATCAAAGTAATTCAAGTATTGGTTCTCTGAAAAAAATGCAATTTAACTAGACGTTGCCCCCCTCCTCCAGTGTGACGTTGTTTTCCTCTCACCCCACAATCTCTTTGTCTTTTAGCGTGTGTTTTTTTGCATGTCAGTAGGCGGATCGCTGCAAGCCAGATGATGGGGTCCAGGTCTATATGTTTCGGTTTGCCCAAGAAGTTCCTGTGACCTTTCCTTTGAATGTAATGCACACGTACTGGCGTTCAGTGCTGTGTTTTTGATAGTGTCTGTGTAGCTTCTATTGGAGCCTCTTTGACACGGAATGAGAGCTGCAGTAGAATTCATATGTGTAGAGTGATCTTGCTGTGTGACCATTTGTTTCCCACTTTGTGGTCTGGTTTGTATTTTGTTTGTTTTTTGCCTGTGTTTTACTTTTAATTAGGGTGATGGGGTTGTGGATCTGATATGATATTAATGAGTGCTGAGATTGCATAGCAATACATAGGGTTGCCATGATAAGATTACATCGCAAAAAAATCAATAGAAGCTTGGCCTGTAACTAGTTCTTATTACAGTATAAACAGAGTTCAGTAGTGAAGTCCAAAACTCTGTTTCTTCATAAAAGCTAGTGTAATATTTGCAGACTTATTTGCATATGGTTTCAGCTCATGTTATTGGTAGTGAATAACTTCCTTGATAAATAACCTTAAATTGCTTGCCTATTATTTATTTTAAAAAACCAAATCTTTAAAACCTGCCTTTTTGTATGTAGCAATTTTAATGCACAAAAATGCTTTGTTTCAGTTGACCCATTCCGGTACAGTTACTCAGCCGAGGCTCTTGGGCATAAGTCGGTAATGCATACGATTTATTTAGCCTTGCGTATTGTGGCAACCCTATATGCACAATAACAACTTAGAGAAAGTTTTTATTACACTTTGTGGATGGATCGAACTGCATAGCTCTGGCTTTTCTTTTGCTGACATTTGCTTTTCCTTACCCCACAGGATACCCGCTCACTATGTCTATCCACAGGCTTTCATGCAACCCGGGGTTGTGATCCCCCACGTGCAGCCCGCGGCCGCTGCCAGCCCTTACATCGACTACACGGGCACTGCGTACGCGCAGTACTCCGCAGCCACAGCAGCTGCTGCCGCCGCCGCCTACGAACAATATCCATACGCCGCGTCCCCAGCCGCAGCCGCAGCTGCAGGATACGTCACCGCCGCTGGGTACAGTTATGCAGTCCAGCAGCCCATGCCCAGCCAAGGTCCTGGGGCAGCAGCGGCTGCAGCCTTCAGTCAGTACCAACCACAGCAGCTGCAGACCGATCGCATGCAATAACAATAGGAGTTTTTTTTTATTTAAAAAAAACTACAAAAGTGCACACTACTTTTAGAATCAGGAAATCATATATATTCCAGAAACTCCAACCAGTACCATCTGCAGCATGCAATAATAACGGACGCAAAACAAACAAAAAGTTCACTACTTTCTGATTGTGAAAACAAAATCCCATCGCAGCGTTTTGATTCCTACCAACAACTGCGCTGCACACTGTCACACCACACAAAACAAATCCTTGAAACAGCAGAAAACGTGTTGTGTTTACTAGCAGGAGAAACGTAAGATGCAAGTCCACAGCCTTCAACCAGCCTGCAACATTATGCATTAATCACGGGACGTAACATAGTGTAATTGCCTTATGCAAACCTTTTCTGCATTCAGGGAGAACGCCGCAATATTTTCAGCTTTCAGGCCCTGTCACAACTGCAGGAGCTGCATGCAATAATACTGGGACATGCAATAATGATAATAAATAAATGAAATGTGCACATCAGGGTTTAGTGAAATACAGAGACAATTCTGCATTACGGTAACAACTACCTTTTGAATTTCAAAGCACTGAATGTTAATCTCATTTTTTTAAAAAAAAGTCTGACCTATGCAAAGTATTTCAGAGATATTTGATATCTGTTGAGGGCTTCGAACAATCAAGCTTATGACCATGTGGGGGTGATGGACAGGTACCGAATTTATTTTCTCCACCCCCCCCCCCCCTTCTCTGCATGAGTGGAACTTGGAGCGAGCAAGTGATCTGGAATTAATGGGCAGAACAGCTGTGTGGACAATCGACAAGGCAGACCGTTCTGGAAATACACATCACTTGTGCTTGTTTGATGACCTGTCACATTTTAATCCCCATCCTGTTTCACTTTTGGGAAACTTTAACTGCTGCTGTCAGCTATTTGGATTCTGAAATAGAATCAGCCCCTGACAATAACAGTCTCCTCTTTCTGTTTTATTGCATCTGTCCATGATTGTTGATTTGGAAGCAAAAAGAAACAAAATAGTGAATTTTAAATAGTCATTGGTTTAAACTGTGCCTTATAAAAAATATTGTTAAACTATTTTAAAATTATTTATTGTAAAGGTTTTTACAACGCTGCGCACTGTAGAAGGGAACTTAAGTGCGGAACTATATATGTGTTCAGCTCATTGCAGATAAATTATTAAGTAGGTATTAGTTTATAATGTTAAACCATATCAGAATATGCAACCAAAAATGTTGACTTCAGTTTATTTAAAATATTTCTATCTGACGCACTATTCAATGGTATCGTTATTTTGACAGTTGTCAATTTTAGGATGTTAAATTAATATTTACTCTTTAGACTTTTTCCAAATGTTATAAGCTGTACACAGACAGACCTCTGGCGTTCGGAATTTAGAGATGACTAACTTTTTGCATTTATGTTGAAATATTTTAAACCATTATTCTGCTTGCTAGAAAGTTGCAATTGCTGCTCTGTAGCCTGTTTTAACCCTCGAGTGCTTGCTGACATCATGTTTTTATCCTATATCTGCAAGCAGGATAAATAATGTAAATGTAGTTTTTTATATATATATACTTGAAGGAAAAAAAATCTAAGATTTTCTTACAAGGGAAAGACAACCAAGGATTTTAGAGACTTTTTTTCATGTCACTGGACTAATTTAAAGTATTCAGGCAAATGGAGCCAGTGTTATTCAAATAATTATGTAAAGTCCTGTTGGTATTACATTTCTATAACAATGTAAACTGATTTATAGTAACTCCATCTTCTAATAAATACACTGACTTTTTTTTAAAATCATTCAAAACTGGAAGTACTGGTATTTGTTTTGACAAATGGTTTACATTAAACTTGTTTTTATTTGAATTGAGAACTGTTTCCTTTATCATTACACCATGAATATGGAACAAGTGTGAAGCGCTTGTCAGCAATATAAAAAAAACTAAAGGCAAGATATTTGGTCCGTGAATGAGACCAGCTCTTGATTTCTGTTGTATAGTGCCTATTTCGCCCACAAATATATGGTCAATTCACTTTACAGTCTATTCTGTGAAGGCTTTGAGATGTTGAGAAGACGTGAAAAGCGCTATATCAAATGCAAGGATTACTTTATTATTATTTGGGATGTATAGTGCCTATTTGGGGTGCTTGTGGTATCACTGTGTTTAAATTTTAATTTAGTTTTTGCAACAACATCTCCAAAGATTGTAGGGTTTATACTTGAAGCGCCTATCATTTTACCGCTCGAGTAAGTGGAAACATGAGCTACCGCAATACCATTGCTGTGTTTATTGATTTTAGTGTAAAAAGGGCCAGAATGCCATGGGAGATCACATCATTCAATAAATCTTTCATGTTTAAGCGCTCCGAGACTCTACACCGTGTGAAGGGCGCTATATAAATACAAGTTGTTGTTGTTTAGCAATGCTCAGCTTTCCTACTCTTTGGAAAGTGGATTCAAAATTGTTAGCAAGAGGTAAAATGCCAATTCAGCATTTTAATACCTTATCGTAGCTAATCAAGTCCCTATCCTCAAAAAACCTTCTCTGGATCCATCGCTGCTCTCAAATTACCGCTCCATTTCCAACCTCCCTTTCGTTTCCAAATTCCTGGAATGAGTAATTGCTTACCGGCTTCTGTGCTCACAGCACAGAAACAGCCTTAAGTCAAAGTGACATGACATTTTGTCCAACTGTGACCAGGGCTCCCTCTGTCTTCTCACCATCCTTGACCTCTCTGCTGCCTCTGACACTGTTGACCATACTATCCTCCTCCACGACCTCTCCCTCAATTTTCATGGTTCAGATCTACTTTCACGCGGTCTCTACTTTGTCTCCACAAATAACATTTCACCCAGCCTTCAGACCATCTTGTGTGGCGTTCCTCAGTACTCTGTCATTGGTCCTCTCCTCTACAACATCTACATGTTCCCTCTTGGTGGCATCAACTGCAGACATGGGGTCAATTTCCACATGTACCGTATGACACCCAATTCTATCTTTCAGCCTCCAAGCTCAACTCTAGGACCACTGCTGTCCTGACAGAATGTCTTTCGGAAATCAAGTCCTGGATGAAAGCTAACTTGCTCCAGTTGAACGTCAACAAGAGTGACGCACTCCTGATTGACTCCTGTCAGTACCTATTATGTTTCAACAATGTGATGCGGTGATACATGAAATGCAAAGATTGTTATTAGCTTATTGGATGATAACTCAATCAAGGTAGCCATCCTTAGTGTTGCTGAGACTGAGTCAATACAGCCTCAGCTCCTAGCATCCCCTGCTGTGGATTGTTTTCAAAGAGCAGCAAATGATGTTGAGAATTGAGGCTCTTTGAACAAACAGCAGGACTATTTTTGGAGCCTTTCATTTTTACGCCTGATGGAAAACAGCAAACTTAGCATTAGTATTCACCCACAAGCTATGTTAATGCCCAATGACACTTTGCTGTTTGAGTTTAAGTCGATGTTAGACAGTTACCTCCAGTGACCTAAAACGTAATTGAACTATTACTATAGGTCAGATCTAATATGCTCCATATTCTGTAACTAAGTCTCAATGTCTCCTGCATCATGCTTCATGTTTAGATTAGATTTTAATACCACTGATAAACATAATATGTTTAAGCTAATAATATGTTTCTGCTCAGTTATTTTGTACATTTTGAAAAGTGCTATCTTTTCTGTACAATAAGCATTTACAAAAATACACAACCACTACGCTTTACAGTGAACCATGTGATAGTCCTCCAGACTTGCAATATCAAAGTAAAAGATTATTATTATATACCATAATATGTACTTCATCAAAGAATACAGATATATTTGTGTGATGTGTTGTAACTCCTGTACATTGCACTTAATGGACACTGAGGTTCAGTTTTTCACAAACAACATTGTTGAGCAGAAGATGTAGACATCTTTTGAGATGCCAAAATCCAACCCAACATCTGGATCAATATATTTATGAAACTATGACCTGGGGTATACTTCAATGGGGCACCACATCTGGTGAACTATTCTAGAATCCCAGAAGAGATAGAACCATTGGGCTGCAGATTCCCTATCTGTGCACAAGGAATGAAGAACTGAGATGGGGGAAGAAAAGATGTGCCAGACATACTAAGTGGTAGATGAAACAACCATTTACTCAAATGCATTGATAAGTAGTGCAAGTAAATCAATATGTTTCAGTGCTTCCCTTTATGGCACTTGAGTTGATTTAATTTGCTGAGCTTTTACATAGTGATTTGGAAAAAGTGCTAAAACATAAAGTTAAATCAGAGGCAATGCAACACTGCTAGCGTTTGAAATATCTTATTGAACAAAACCTATTTGATTATTTCACAGATGCCTCCAGGGGACTGGGCTGCTAAAATGCGGTAGGAGTGAACTGGTCAGTGGGTCAGAAACCAGAGGGCATAAATTTAAGATCATCAGAGGGAGAGGTTAGGAGAATTTTATTTTACACACAAATGGTTATTAGGACATGAAATGGCCCTACCAAACTAATGTGGTTGAAGCAGAATCCATAATAGCTTCTAAATGGGATTTGGACAAATATTTGAGAAGATAATATGAAAGGGTTTGGGGAAAGGGCAAGGGAGTGGGACTGAATGGATAGTTCTTTCAGAGAGCCGGAACAAGCATCAATGGGCCAAATGGCTTCCTTTTGTGTTACACGATTCTGATTCTAAGAGATCCTCTATTACTCTGTGAATACTCCATATGGAGGCACCAGCGTGAGCGTTTCAAAAAGCATTCATCTCTGGTTCCCAGAGCCCTGTACACTACCCTTGTTAAAGTGACTTTCATACAAAAATATATTTGTCCGTTCTTTAATGCACACTGAATGTACAAAGTTCCACCTCATTGGAGCGTGGCTTCCTGCGCTGTGTCTTTCTTGCATGTCACCAGTACAATCATTTGCTTCATTTGAATAAGGTGAAGTGTCTTGTTTGTATGATAAAGCCAGTACAGTACATTAGCTAACATAGGATCATAGCAGGTGATTAAATATCTTCATTTAAATTAAAACAGGTGGACTAAAATGGAGTGTGATTTGTATCAGTGGTAACTATAAGCTATGTATAAACAAAAGAAACTGTCTGCGTTAAGCCCCTTCCCCCTACCTCCCACCCACTATTACATTCCCAAAATGGCATTAAAAGTAGTAAGGTGGTAGGTGAGTAGAAAGTTCAGACGCCACATTTGGTTTTAAGACAGAGGATGTGTTCTGCACGAGCAATCCAGGACACCAAATGTGTTCTCCTGCAAACCTAAAATATTAACCTCACAAAACATGTCTATGTAGAACAATGCCATACAATATGTGTGTTTGAGCATTTGTACCATTCCTGCCACTTAAAAAAAACTAAGATCCTGCCACAACCTATTGGGTAAATACACCCCTTGGAACAGCAATAGGCCTGACAGACCAATGGGTACTGTTTCAATTCCTGGTTTGTGGTGAGCTATCTGATCTCAGTCAGTCAGAGACCTAATTTAGCTGCAAAGTCTCTGATCAGTATTCAGGGGGGAACCTGTTGGAAGGTGAACATCTGTGGTCAGGACCGGGCTTGGATGGGTTTATGCCCACTGTCAAGGCTCAAACATGCTGAATGGCCACATGCTGCAGCTCCCGGAGGGAACCCAGGGATTCATAACCCAGTGGAAATGAAAGGAAGTTAAAATACCTTCGGAAAGGCAGAATAATTGAGAAGGCTTTGTATTGGTTTATCCTGATGTAGTACTTTAATAACATCAGCTTTAACCTATTTATTCTAATTGAATCAATTACAACCACAAGCCACATTGAGTTAGAGTCCAATTAATATATTGGCTATTCTTTTCCCCTTCAGTTCTGGGAAAGGCTGCTACAGTTTGGCTCACTCTCTTAAAATTTAACATCATGACAAATTTCAGACTTAAATTCAGTGTTGATACTACCGTTCTTTTTGGGAGACAGAGTAAATGATTCATGTTTAAATGGGAGATATGATACTTAGGAAGGTTATTAATAGCTTATGCAGAAAAGGCAGCAGCATTTTATTCCTGATACTTAAAAAAAATTCATCAATAAAAAAAAACTCACTTTGAAGTTCTCAATATTATATAGGAAACCTTCCAAATACCTGACAAGGCTGAGAATAATGAAATGCTCATTGTCAGACATGGTAGAAAATGTATCCTCTTCAATGTTATGCCCGGTTTATATCACAGACGAGTTTGATTCACCGAAGGTGGGAGCCATGTGCATATAATAATACTAATAATCCTTACATTTGGTTTAACGCTTTTCATGTCAGGAAGAGCTTCACAGGATGTACTATAAACTGTAGTGACTGTTTTTGCAGCAAGCTGTACACGTAGCTTGGTAGACATGCTGAATAGACATACTAAAGATTGAATTATGGAAAAAACGACTGAACAACAACAACAAGATTCCATTTATAAAGCGCCTTTCACGTCAGGAGGACTGAAGTCCTTGCTGTAAATACTCATCCTTCTCAGTCACTGGTACCAGTCCCTTTAAGATATTAGCCCAGACGTTCACTTTCCTGTTATCTCCCATGTCCAGCTGAAGAACAAAGGAGGAAGCACATCAGACAGCAGAACTGAAAGGTAATTACTCAGTTATATGCTTCAATGAGTCCAAACAGTGATTGCAGAAAGGCCCAACGTCTCCACTAAAGTTCTCACATTCTTGAGAAATAAAAGAACACAAGTTGGTGATGCAGACAAAGAGCCTGTGCAAAATCCCCTCAATTAGCAGGAAGTTACAGAAGGGCCAAATCATATTGGTGTTGTATTTCCGAATGAGTGTGTCTGGGATCTGTTAGTGAAACACTAGCAATGGCAACGGATGATCC